CCGTTCAAAAGTTTGGGATCAGTAAGATTTGTAATGTGTTTTAAAGAAGTGTCTTCTGCTCATCAAGGCTGTGTTTATTTGATCAAAAATACAGAAAAAAACAGTAATCTTGCTAAATGTTATTACAATATAAAATAATGGTTTCTATTTTAATATCCTTTAAAATATAATTTATTTCTGTGATGCAGCGCTGTATTTTCAGCATCATTACTCCAGTATAAAGTGTCACATGATCTTCAGAAATCATTCTAATATGCTGATTTATTATTAGAATTATCAACAGTTGTGCTGCCAAATATTTTTTTTGGAAACTGCGATATTTTTTCCGGAATCTTTGATGAATAAAAAATTAAAAAGAACAGCATTTATTCACTTATTAAATATTTTCTAACAATATAAATCTTTGCTATCACTTCTTATCAATTTAACACATCCTTGCTGAATAAAAGTTTTAATTTCTTTCAGAAAAAGAAAGAATAAAAATGTACTGACCCCAAACTTTTGAACTGTAGTGTATATTGTTAGAAAGGATTTCTATTTTAAATAAATGCTCTTCTTTTTAAAGGGGTCATATGATGCAATTTCATTTTTTCCTAATATCCTAATGATTTTTGGCATAAAAGAGAAATGTATAATTGTGACCCATACAATGTATTGTTGGCTATTGCTACAAATATACCCCAGCGACTTAACACTGCTTTTGTGCTCCAGGGACACATATTATATTTGCTGTAAATGTAAACATCTATAAGTTGTATTAGCAACACTTCAGAGTTTAAAAATACAACTTCCAATAGATTATCATTACTTTTTACACACACACGCACTCACACACACACACACACACACACACACACACACACACACACACACTCTCACACACACACACACATTAACTTAACTAGAATATGGAAATAACTTTTACTGCATTTTCTGATCACACTGCAAAAAAATGAATCTCTTCCTCAGTATTTTTGTCTTGTTTTCAGTTGAAATGCATGATTCTTAAAGCAAGATGCATCGAGCAGTAAAATGATGTAATTTTGGGTTGTTTTTTTGACAAACTGATCAAAACGAAGTGAGTTTATGATTAAAACAAGAACAAATATCTGCCGACAGGCTCAGAAAAATCTAGTTTTCATTCTCCATTGACAAATATTTGTATAAGCATAAACAAACTTTTGTTCAATTTTTTTCAGAAAAATAAACTTTATTTTGCATCTAAATGTATCTTGATTTAAGAATGCTTGGAGATATTTGTACTGGAAAACAAGACAGACATACTGACAAAGATATTCATTTTTGCAGTGAACGCAACATGCCATGACTTTATGAACTTAAGACGTTCTGCTCTGATTTAAGATTTATTTTAGGCCTCTTCTTTGTGGAAGAGAGAATGAAGACTTTTTAAGAGCCACAGAAAGACTAACTGCTTTATGATATCAGATATCACAAACATGGAAGTTTTGTTACAATCTAGTTTCTGCATGGTTTGCAGTTTGCTAAGTTATGATTGACATTTTCTGCTGTTTTAGTTAAATAACCTACGTTTTATATTATATATGTTAGATGAAGTACTACAGTATTAATTATAATATTATATATATATGTGTATTGTGTGAAACATTAATATGATCCTGCAGCACACGTCTGTTATCAGAGAAACAGTCATGAGAACTGATTTAATGTTTGTTGCGTTCACAACTAGTGTTTACGACAGTATTTGATCACAATAAACGGCTGATACTCAATACCTCAAGCCTCTGCTGTAATGCTCATTTACAGACTTCTCATTTACAAAATCTAATAGTGTACTTGTGTAAATATTCTAAATGATCTTTATAATATTTTTCTAATTAAAATAAATATAATAATAGTAGATAAGTATTTTAATTCTAGTGTGTGTGTGTTTGTTTTGAGTGTGTGGTGTGTGTTATTGTGAGTGTGTTGAGTCAGTGTTGGGGGTAACGTGAGTTCAGATTACTTTTTTCCAAGTAACCCATTACTTTTTAATTTACAAGAAAGTGTTTATGTGTTAAGTATGGAAGCCCGTTTCCACCACTGAATAAAAAATATCTCACATATTTTATCTCACAATTCTGACTTTTTTTCTCGCAATTGTGAGTTAGTGTAGTGTGTGTGTTCAGTATATGTGTGTGCATGTGTGTTTGTGTGTGTGTGTGAGAGAGAGAGAGAGTGTGTGTGTGTTTATATGTTTAGTGTGTATGTGTTCAGTATGTGTGTGTGTGTGTGTGCATGTTTATGTTTAGTGTGTGTGTGTACAGTATGTGTGTGTGTGTGTGTGCCTAGAGGGCTCGTGTGCGCGTCTCTCTCTCTCTCAGTGTGTGTCGGTTCTCCGCTCGGTTCTCCGGTGTGTATGTGAGCTCGGTGTTCCGCTCATCATGTCCTCCGCGGGAGCTGCTTGCGGACCGGCACCGGGACCGAATCACGGCGCCTCAAACCCGCGAAAGTTCAGCGAGAAGATCGCGCTGCACACGCAGAGACAGGCGGAGGAGACGGCGGCGTTCCAGGAGGTCATGATGGACCTCAGCTCCACCCGGGTAACGGACACACACACACACGGTAACGGGAACGGGTTTCCCGCGGGAAATCGTCAAATCCGTGTTTTTCTCTCGGCGCGCGCGAGCAGGTAGTAGCGCACTAGCTAACGGAAGCTAACGAAAATAACGCGGAGATCGTGAAAACGGAATCCGCGAGAAACGTTAAAGACACTTTAATTACACGCGAGATGTTTTTAGAGGCACCCTGACATTAAACGACAGTAAAATCGCGTTTAATTCCTGTGTGAGTTTGATTAGTGTCTCTGACAGGAAGCGGTTAGCAGCAGATTAGCATTAGCTCCTCACACTTCACTCATATAATATCAAACGATATTCTGGAGTTGTTATCGCGTTAATCTCACTGTATCCGTCTCAAACATCACATGTGAAGGTAATTCTGTCAGTCTGATGTGTTCTATGTGCTGTCAGTCGCTAAACGCTGCCAGAATGTACCGTGGTATTTTGTGGACTTGTACTATGGTATGCCTGTGGTTGATAACTAACTAATGTCAGAGCTGGTTAAGTTAGTTAAGTTCATGTCAGTCTGATCTGGGCTCAAACCTTGACCTTTACTAGCATCAGTAAAGATGATTTAACACTTTCAATAACCGAGTCTTAATCAGTGACATTCAGCTAAATACAAGTGTCAACAAAATATGTGTGTCTTTAAATTGTATTATTTTAATTTACATTTTTATACATTTTTAATTGCTTTTAATTTGGTGTTGATTTTTAATTGCTTTGATTTAGACTTTCAATAACAGTCTGAATTAGTGACATTAAGCTAAACAATTAAAACTTACTAAAAAATGAAATATTTAAATTTTATTTTTAAAATAATTTATTTACATTATTTGATTCAATATACTTGGATTCAATTAGATTTTAATTAGTTTGTAGTAAGCTGTTGTTTTGATTGTTTTAGTGTTTCAAATAAAAACAATCAAAATAAACCACATACTGAAACTTAAATTATTAAACTAAATTGTTTTCTATTTGCATCCTATCATTAAATTAATATTTGGGTCAAAGATGAAAAAGGGGTTTCAAGCATCAAAACAATGTGTAATACAGCTTTCAGTTGTTGTTGTATTTCCAATACATTAGAAAGTGTCCCGTTTAATTAAATAGTTTACTTTCTGCGCATAAAACGAATATCATACATTTTTACCACAATTTACAGAAAACAGCCACTAAAATGTCATTCAGTGTAACAATATTTTCAGGCATATTTACCAGAAGAATCAGATTAAGACATGATGACAAAATTGTACATTTTTAAACTTCCCAATCTGGCCATTTGTCAGCAAGAATTTTTGCTTATTTAAAATCCAATAAAACGTAGTATGCTCACTTATTCTTTTATATATTTTAATATGTACAGATCAGAATAAGTATGTTTTTTAAATTTTGACATAAATATAAGTGTTGCACTGAATGACAATGGATCATTTTCACCCACACTTTGACATTTTATTCTCCCCCAAATTTTTTGAAACCTTAAAAGTAGACACTTTTCTTGCATTTAATGTGCTTTCTATGTATATAAAATAACTTTTGTAAAAGTTCTTTTGATGCGGACATTTAAAAGTCTTTTACCCATTTACTAAGTGATTTATTTTGATTTGGTTGTTTTATTATTTATTATTTTTATTTGAAAAGTGTCAAAATAAGCCCCTTACTAACACTATAAATTATAGAATGCAAAATTAAAATGAAAAATAAAATTTTATTTTCATTTTGCAATTTAAAGTTCAGTTACATTTTACTGTTTAATTCATTTAAAAAAAAAAAGTAAGTTATTCATTGATACATTTTTACATCAATTTTTAATGTAATACGTTTTTAGTAAGTGTTTTATCGTTATTCCTTTAATTTTTGCATATAAACATCTTTTCATGTTGTGTGCATTCATCATGACGGCAGCTTTCTAAACAGCTCTCAGTAGTAATGTATATTTTAACGCTAGGTTAATCAGATGTTAACTCTGATTTAAGCAGAGTGCAGGGATTCCCAAACATTTTTTGTCAGCCGATTCTCTTTAAGTTAAAATATTTACTGAGATTTGAATTTAATATTTCAATATAACAGCACATTCATTTGTTCATGGTTCTCTGATGTCGGTTAATAAACAAATAAAAGCATGTAGATAAACAAATAAAATATTGCATCTTTTTTTAGTAAGTGGATTATTTTAATTATTTTAAAAGATTTATGTAAATGTATGATTTGATGACTTTGTATTAAGTGTTTTATTTTGATTGATTTTATTTTAAAATGATTTTAATTTGGCATTTTATTATTTAATACATTTTAGTGATAGTTTGTAATTTGGTGATTTTTAGTAAAAATTGAATATTTTTTTGAATATTTTGGACATTTAGATTTTTATTTCAAAATTGTATTTCATTGTAACATTTCTATTATTTTAATACATTTTTAGCTAGCGTTTTATATTGATTTGTCATTGTTGTAAAATAAAAATGAATTAATATTTTTACATTTTATTGTTTAACAACTTAGTGTTTTATTTTATAGATTTATTTAAATTTTTCAGATTTATTCTTATGATTCACTTTAATTTAGATGGTTTTTAGTCATTTGAACTTCATATTTTTATGGTTTAAGAACTTTTTGTGAAATTTTGAAAATGTAAAAAAATTATTGGTTTTTATTTTACATTTTTATGCTTCATTTTAACTTTTATTTTAATTGTTTCTCGTCTTGTGTTTCAGATTCAGGCGCAGAAGGTCCGTTTGGCCCGAACTCAGGGCCCGTATTATGGTGGATCTTTGCCCAACGTCAACCAGATCGGCAGGAGTGCCTCGGACCTGCAGGTGTGTGTGTGTGTGTGTGAGAGAGAGTGTGTGTGTGTGTGAGAGAGTGTGTGAGAGAGAGTGTGAGAGAGAGTGTGTGTGTGTGTGAGAGTGTGTGTGTGTGTGTGAGAGAGTGTGTGTGTGGGAGTGTGTGTGTG